TTTTTTTGGTTTTTCTGAGACAGGGTTTCTCTGTGTAGCTTTGGTGCCTTTCCTGGAACTCACTTTGTAGCTCAGGTTGGCCTTGAACTCACAGAGATCCGCCTGACTCTGCCTCCCGAGTGCTGGGATTAAAGGCGTGCGCCACCACTGCCTGGTTTATAATATTTCTTTTTTTATGCCAAGAAAAGAAATGGAATTTCTGGTACAGAATGGTGATAAAGGAGACAGTTAACCCATAGTATTGTATAGTGAATGGGCTTCATTTTCTTCTTAGGTTTACCCTAATTTTTCTTTTTACCTTGTCCTTTTAAAAGTTTACTTCTTAGCCATCGGTGGTGGCACATGCCAGTGTGTGTTTTTGGTGTGGTATGTTTGATTTTTCAGCCATTATGATCTTCCCAGGATTATTCTCACTTGTTAGTGAAACACACACACACACACACACACACACACACACACACACGTCAGTTTTCCTGCTGAGTCAGTATTTAATCTTCATGACTGCAGAAACAAACTAAAGCCACCCAGAGCAAAACAGAGATGTTGCTAACTTAGCATGAATAAGACTACGTATATTTACTAATTAAAGTCTCCACTGCCTTTCCTCCCATTCAATAAAGAACAAAAAGTAAAGCGTGATTTCCTTCTAAAAGAACTGATTTTGAAAACGACTTTATTTCCAAAATAAGATATATTTAAATATATTTGTTTAAAAAATCCTTAAAAATATAAAATCAGTTTTTATTTCTGAGGGGGATTATAGATCAGAAAATGACTTGCTGATATAACTTAGTTTTCTATAATGTGTTATCTTGATTTTGCAAGTAAGCTTTCAAGTTTTTTGTTTGTGTGTTAAGTTTCCGTGACCTTTCTTCCTGAATGAGCAGCACAGCCTATCTGAGAATCAGGACTTTGTCCTGGCAAGGGTCAGTTTGCAGAGAGCTTAGCCGGTCTGTGCTGCCTGGTTTAAATAGCCAGACACCTGCTGAGCAAGCCCTGTGAGTGGCTGTGCCGGCTTCCTCACTTACGCTTTGCAGAGCTGGAACACAAAGACCACGATTGTTACCCAATAAGCCTGAGTCACATACTTCTACCAATCGCCTTAGGAGAGCTGGTTACCATGGAATCCACCATCTGTTCACTCCCCGCTGCCGGAATGTGATTATCCTTGCTGGGCTGGGAACGTGGCGTTAGCAAGGGAGTCTGTGTAGTGTGAGATTATCTGCGGTGCACTGGGCTATGGGGAGACTCCATTTGGCTTACTGGAAGAACAAATGAGGGGAATTGTGCTCCAGCCATTTGTGACTTGTAACCACAAGGAATAAATCAGCTTTTCTAGGGTAAGTAACCTGGTACTGCATATCCACTTTGTACGGCATTTGGTGTGAATATGATCTTTCTGTGGTCAAGGAAAGGAAGCCCTAAGCTCTTTGGTAAGAAACTCCCCCCACCCCCCAAAAGAAAGCTTGCACACTTGTCTTTTATTGATTTTAGACAACAACTACACGTTGGAATTATCCTGTAATGTTTCAACGTATTTCCTGCTTGTGAAAGTGCACTGTGATCCTTGAATGTAGCAAATACAGTCATCTTGTAATGGCTTCTACGGTGTTCTCACTGAAACACACCATGGCCACAGTGGGTTCAATGTCTATTCTTATTTGAGAAATGACTCCCATCAGTGGCATTTGTAGATTATGCTCAAACTAAGGTTTATAGTGGACCACATGTTTGAAGTGTGTCTGTGCAGGTCTCAAGGGCCAGCGCATGTGGAAACAATGTGACAGCGATGTAGCGACAGATGAGGCTCTGAGATAAGGGAGGGGGAGCCATGACTGGCTTCTCAAGAGCTTCCTTTGTTACTGTTATTTCCTTTTGTCCACAGCTACTTAGAATGTGTGTTACATATTGTCAGCCTCAGAAGGAAATTTTAGTTTTAACAAATGGATGACTGACATTTTTCCTTGTGGCTCCGAGGTTGGTAGCTCAAACAAGGGACTACTATGTCCTTTGTAAAGCATCATTGTATTTCCTTCCCCCAAACTGCCCTAAAATATAAAAGTGTAAAACAAAAACAGCTGTATGCTCTGGAGACTTCTTTTGTGTCGGTGTTTCTGTCCTTGAAGCCCCAGCGCACACCCTAGCACCCTGAGTTTAGCTGGTCTGCCATTTTATCTTCTGTAGGGAGGGCTGCAATTAGAGGCTTTGCATGTGCAGTTCAGTCAAACTTGAACCATGTTGTCCTCTTGGGTGTTCATATTAGTGAGCCAGTGGCTACCTAGAGAGCTAGAAACTGTCACTGGTCACAGGCACTGTGGCTTTTTTTTTTTTTTTTTTAAGCAGTATGAAATCAGTGAACCTGGTATTATTAGTCAAGGACTCAGGTTTGTATTTCATTAATGGTTTTCAAGCCTAACTGTTTTTGTAGAGTCCTGGTATTAACTATAATTGACTTTAGTATTCTGCATTTATAGTAAATTTTTAAATAAGCAAAATAATCTAGGTACATACTATCTTTAAGAAACATTTCTCAATAATACTAGATATATGTACCTGAAAACTTCCTTAATAACTATACAATGTTTTCAGCTAATCTTGTGTTACTCAGAAAAAAATTGACTAATTAAAATCAATAAATAATTGAAGGCATATAAAGTCAAATTGTGCATTTATGGCACTATTGTTGCTTTAATTACCCTGTATCTTAGAAACCTGAAACAGCGTTGGAGTACAGTGTGCTTACCATGTGCCTTGGCTCTAGTTACTCAGGCCACGAAGTGGGCAGTACAAATCTACACTCCACCAGTTGACCATTTGTGATGTGCTACTGTTTTCCAGTTACCAACTTCAGTTAGCAAGGTGGACGTCTGTCATGGTGTTGTAGGCTTTGGCAAGTACACTTGAAAACATATTTCTTAAGATCTTGTTTGTTCAGGTTTCTAGCATAACAAATAATAAACCTTATTTGATAAAGTGTGATCAAAATCTTTTTGCAGAATATTCACATTGAAAGGGAAAAGTGTCCTGGCTTGATGTAAAACAGTCTCAGTGCCCAGCTGTCTTACCTACCAGAGCATAAAACTCTCATGGAAGTCCAAGGCAGGAGTGGGAAAAAGGGAATCTCCTCTCTGAAGGATTAAATGAGCAGTCACTCACCTACGACTTTAGAATGGGATTTTCATTTTGTCTTATGTGAATAACAACATGATGAATATTTCCCTTTTCTGTAATTAAAAAGTATTTTTATTTGGATGCATGATTTTGAAAGAATAAAAGGTTCAAAGTCTTTGTTATATCAACCACTGACAAATTTGGCAGCTCTAGACGGTGATCCCAGCTGAGATGAGTGGAGGGCAGGCCACGGGCCAGTCCACACAGAGCACTGGTTGTCCCGGTCCAGGTACTCACAGTCCGGGGTGCAGAGCCAGGTGACTGCTCCTCACTTCCTGTGGGTTTAGACCTTGTGAGATGTCTACTTCTATTCATGGTTTTGCCAGCCCTGGTGCTGGCCTCTTTCGTGAGGATTGAGAATGCATGGATTCTTGGGTCTGCTGAGAGCACCGGCTATGATTGTCCCCATCTTTCTGTGTGTGTGGGCTGCTAGACTTCAGTGGTTTTTGAGCTATTTGCTAACTCTCTCAATGCTAAGATTTTTTTCAGGTCTTCAATGAAATTTAGGAACCATGTGTGTTTTATGTTGATAAATATGTAAAATGAACTATTCAGTGTTGTTTCTTATAAAAGAGTATTAAATATAAAACTAAATGAACTTGACAGTGATTCAGATCATTCACTATCAAGGCAGACAGCAAATCATTCTACTGTGAGTTCACATTAGGTTGGTCATTTTTTTAAATATTATTTGACACATAATGCTGAAATGCTGCTTGACCTAACATAGTCCGGTAAATAGGTCATAGAGCTAATACTAGAGGTTAATTTTGAATAACTTTCTTCCTGTTTTTTTTTTAATTTTATTCTAACTTCTGAATTAAATCCTTCTGTCTCTTTAGAGCTTAGATTGTTTTCAAGTTCACTGTTTGAGGCCCCAGTGACCTGCTTTGTCCTTGAGCTAGGATGATGGAGTAGAAATAGGGATTTAGATTAGAAAATCTGTATCCTGTCATTGCTAGCAAATGCTGCTCTGCTCAGAGATATTTGGAGCTGCCTGTTAGTTTTTGTTGTTATTTTGCTTTAGTAGACGTTCTGCAAATTGTTCTGTTCTCTTCTCCCACAATTATGTATTGTCATGATTTCAAATAATACTTAGAATGAGATAATTGTATACATCAGCAAAATTTTGTGTTGTGTTAGATGCAAAGCCTGTAACACAAGCATTAAAAACCCAATTTTAGAGAAGAATTTCAGGCCTATGAAGACAAAACAGTTTATCCCAGGTCACAAAAGCTGTGAAATTCTCATATTGGTTATGGCAGTTTAAATGCAAAGGTGAGAGCAAGATCTACTGACTTTACTCCCCCGGTGAGTAGCAAACAGGGTGGGAGGTCTCCCTAAAACCCCACTGGTGGAATTTTCAGTGAGCATTGAGAGCATAGGTCTAACATAATTTTCCCAAGCATCAAATTCACAGGAAACATAGGTTTCTTATTATAAATGCTTGACATTTTAAAAAACATACCTGTCAAAACAAGTGGATACCTGGGTGCTCAGTTTGTATGTTGTCTCCCTCTGGCTGTCTGTACGTGGACGTTAAATGACAACTAGAATCCTGCTGGGAGACTCTGAGGTGGATGGAATGCAGTGGGGTGAACACTAAGGAGAGACAGTCCAAAGGACAGGGGTAGTCTACTCTGTGGTACACATCTGTCACCTAGATGTCACCTGTTCCTGTTGTGGCTCAGTGGGCCTCTTCTTTGGACGTCACCGTGCTCTGCCTGGGTGGCTTATGTAATTTCCACTTCCTCTGTTCCTTCACCAACTACATGTCCACCTTTCCTAGGACCCTCTTCATACTTATCAAGACATTCTTTCTTTGAAGATGTTACTGTCATTAGTGTTAACTTTTCATGTCTTCATAAAATAGTTATTGAACATTGACTTTGTGCTAGGTGCTAGGATTTGGTGCTAGGGTACAAGGTCATTGGTGAAATTTTCATGAAAGTGGGATAAGTCATAATAAACATTAAAAAATTGAACTTTTAAGCAGTGTCCTTTTTCTGAAGAAATAAGTATTGAGGGGTTGGGAGCAGTAGGCTTTAGATTAGGTAATCAGGAATTGTTTTATATAAAAAAAAGTCTCATTTAAATGGGATACATTACATCATAAAACAATCACATGTGATCCAGTTCCGTGGGAGTGTTGTCTTCACTGTGGGGAGAAGATGGAGGGTGCAATCAATAGGATTAAACAAAAATCTTGTTAAAAGGCTAGTGAGGAAATGTCTCGGTGGGTGAGATGCTTTCTGCCAAGCCCAAGGGCCTGCGTCCCACCCCTGGGGCACTCGCCTGATAGGAGGAGGGGACCGGCCTCCTCTGGTTGTTCTTGTATCTGCATGCATGTCCTTCCTCTCAAACACAAATTAAAAAGTCTTTGGCCTCTTATGCTAGGGATGGGCACTACAGATACATTTTCTTTCATAACTTAATGCTAGTACGTGCTGTTTTTAAACCAAGATGTTAATAGACACAGACATAACTTGAGAAGACATTTCAGGACAGTGGGGATGATCTGTCAGCATTTAAAAGTCTAGCACAAAGCTAGACATCTTGGCTCACACTTGTAATACCAGCACTCAGAAGGCTAAGGCAGGAGGATTGCCGTGAGTTGGTCGTGTCTTATTCTTGGTATAAATACGTATTTTATATATATTTAAAGTCAACACACAGAGTGAAATTTGTGTAGTCAGAAGTGTCCTTGAGAAAGTCTTAGGAAGGCATAGCTGTGGAAATTAATCTTGTCAACATGGTGAGTGTGGATCCTTCTCCACATGAGCTAAAGTGATTACTTTGCTTGAGTTAAGGAGCGTGTGCTGAGGGCTCATCTTTGGAGTTACGATGACCAGAAATCAGGCAGCACCTGCTTGTAATCTCTCCGGCCTCCCTGCACTGCCTTGCACTCTGACCACACCAGGGCACAGTGTCAAAGCGCTGCGCCTCTGAGCATGCTCTCTCTCACACGTGCCTCCTTCTCTCTACAAAGCGTTTATAGTTCCGCTTGAGTAACCTTGAATTTGAGTAGGAAGGAGTTTGCCATCATTGCCTAGGACATTGACTTTGCTTCTTTACAACTTCTTATAGATTTTAAATTGTTAATAATGGTTTTACAGAAATGTTATGATAAATATAAAAGTTAAAGGTAAATTAAAATGTGACAGAGAAG